AGTGCGGGCATTAACCCAAGTTTCACTAGAGTGTTGGGCGGTAGGCTCTAACAGCAGCGCAGTGATCACTCGACGACAAACGGATAAAAACGGATCCGAGAATTTAATAGCTTTCGGTGCTTCATGTTTTTACAGAGATGGCATTTAAAGAATTTCATAAAACAAAAAAAATGTAAAATAAAATCAGAACATAAAAAAATTGTAAAACAGGAAAAATATACGAATTCGTTTTTATTGTTCCCATCGAAATTGACAATCGGGACTTCTTATACAACAGAATGGCATCGTAACAAGGACCTTAACGATCACCAAAATTCTACGATAGCTGTCGTTTTGGCTGTAATATTTCTAACCAAGTTTCAATTATATCCAATTTTGAATGACTATGTCTAAAACATCATTTGGTTTTACATAAATGTGTAAATTCTGATCGAGGGAAATATAGACCCTGAGGTCATAGAAGGACAAATTTGATAAAGAGCTCGATGATCCTTCCATCATGAACCATTTTATTCTATCATATCAGAATCTAGAGAAGCAGTTAGTGATGCTACAAAATGTTGGTCGAGTTTATGTCTTCACTTCAGTTTGACGTTATCGCAGAGCACGGCAGGTAACCGAAAACAAATACCATAATACGTGTTTCAGTTCCACTTACAATGGCGTTTGAAATGTTTGTCGTCCTACACGTCTAATGTTGTAGTGTTTGTCGTCCTACACGTCTAATGTTGTAGTGTTTGTCGTCCTACACGTCTAATGTTGTAGTGTTTGTCGTCCTACACGTCTAATGTTGTAGTTCCACTTACAGTGGAGTTTGAAATGTTTGTCGTCCTACACGTCTAATGTTGTAGTTCCACTTACAGTGGAGTTTGAAATGTTTGCCGTCCTACACGTCTAATGTTGTAGTTCCACTTACAGTGGAGTTTGAAATGTTTGCCGTTCTACACGTCTAATGTTGTAGTTCCACTTACAGTGGTGTTTGAAATGTTTGCCGTTCTACACGTCTAATGTTGTAGTTCCACTTACAGTGGAGTTTGAAATGTTTGCCGTCCTACACGTCTAATGTTGTAGTTCCACTTACAGTGGAGTTTGAAATGTTTGCCGTTCTACACGTCTAATGTTGTAGTTCCACTTACAGTGGTGTTTGAAATGTTTGCCGTTCTATACGTCTAATGTTGTAGTTCCACTTACAGTGGTGTTTGAAATGTTTGCCGTTCTACACGTCTAATGTTGTAGTTCCACTTACAGTGGTGTTTGAAATGTTTGCCGTTCTACACGTCTAATGTTGTAGTTCCACTTACAGTGGAGTTTGAAATGTTTGCCGTTCTACACGTCTAATGTTGTAGTTCCACTTACAGTGGAGTTTGAAATGTTTGCCGTTCTACACGTCTAATGTTGTAGTACCACTTACAGTGGAGTTTGAAATGTTTGCCGTTCTACACGTCTAATGTTGTAGTTCCACTTACAGTGGAGTTTGAAATGTTTGTCGTCCTACACGTCTAATGTTGTAGTACCACTTACAGTGGTGTTTGAAATGTTTGCCGTCCTACACGTCTAATGTTGTAGTACCACTTACAGTGGAGTTTGAAATGTTTGCCGTTCTACACGTCTAATGTTGTAGTTCCACTTACAGTGGTGTTTGAAATGTTTGCCGTTCTACACGTCTAATGTTGTAGTTCCACTTACAGTGGAGTTTGAAATGTTTGCCGTTCTACACGTCTAATGTTGTAGTACCACTTACAGTGGAGTTTGAAATGTTTGCCGTCCTACACGTCTAATGTTGTTTATATGTATCTTGGTGATATATAGAGAATAAATGGTCAGTGTCTTAAAATATAAACTGTATTTTGGCGTGGTGAAGAAAGACAAAATTGGCAAGCCTCTAGCGAGCCACTTCCGTCTTTCTATTCCGATTTATTTGTCCAGCAACATTGATTGAAAATCTGACTATTGAAACTTAAACAGTTCTGTTGTTCCTTCCGTGTCTATCTTACATTGACGTTATGCTAAATTTTGCCTGATGACGGACTCGAAAATAATTGCTCCGCGCGGAAACATAGTTCCAAACTTAATCGGATATAACAGCAATTTTATGAATTTTCATAAATCAATTTGTTCATTACAACAACTGCTGATTTCAACAACTATTTCTATACGTCATGATAATTGTCGAATTACCGTACGTGCTAAACTTCAGTTGTTTACTGTCACTGACAAATACAGCAAAACGTACAAGTGGCCAGATGCAGGATAAATCAACTGGCGCTGCCATTTCGGAATACACCTCCAACAAATGTTCTTGTTATGTTCGGCAGTTCTGTAAAACAGTAGTATTGTAGCATGTACATTAATTCGACACAATTACCCTCTGAATCTACTTAAACATTACGCTTACAATGCAAATCACTTATTAAAGATGGGATTATATATGCTGTAAAGACCAGATTTATTTACGGAATGTAATCAAACTTGCTGTTACATGGGTTTAAGTTGAACTATATTTCTGCGCGGGGCATTATTTTTTGCGTGTGTCGTCAGACAATGTCAACGTTAGGTAAGCAGATTGAACAAGCTGGTGACGTTTTGATAGTCTGAATTTTTAATCAACAGCTCACCATTGTGTCTTTCTTCATTCCAACCAAAATACTGCTGATATTTTAGACACTAACCATGCACTCTATATAAATGGTTTTATTAAAGCAATAGATGATGCAGGTTGATGACTTATGCGTCTAAACTTCACTTCATTGCATATGTCGATGAGTCGCTGAGATGTCCTACAGTTGTCAAAACTGACATTTTAAAGAGATATCGTATATTTAAAAAAAATTGAAGTCAATAATTGAATATCGAATGTAAGGCAAAGATTTTACAAAAATGTGCGTGCTTCCTTCGAAATGGACATCAAGATCATTTCATCTCCGGATATACGACGGTACGTGCAGTGTCGCCAGGGAGCCATTGGTCTATACATTAGTCACACGTGTCTACCAAAGTAAGTAAGAAGACCAAACAAATCATCTACAGTGTCACATAGAATAGCAGATCTTTTAATCTGAATTGTGTTTCCAACGCAACCAACGTTATAAGTGTACAAAGAAAACGTTTAACCGATAAACGTTCTGAAATCACTTAGCATTGCAAACTGATATTCATTGGATTATGGGTAATTGCAAACTCCCGATTTATATTTACTGTATATAATTCTTTTGTACTGAAATAAGTTAGATATGTATTGCGTGTCTTTTGTACCATCCTTTATGCTAATCTCTGGAAATTACGTAATATATGATACTTTCTCATCTTGTCATCAGGTAGTAAGTTAAATATAGATTTAGTACACAGGGACAAATTGAAAACTCGAAACGACCAGACAGCCGGAATTATGACATCACAACTGAGTCATTCCACTGGAAAACACAACACATACGTCCCGATAAGCATGATGACATGTGCCTGGTCCAATGTAGGAGAAAAGCGTGAATCACACGTGATTCAATAAAACACGATGAAATTAGTAGTTTTCTGAAAAGCAGTTAAACTAGTAAATAATGGCCTGGAATCTGCTTCAGAGTTGACCGTTAGAATCTTCTGATTAAAACGGGTGCTATTTATTTACTGACAATAGAACGATCATATATTTACAGACAGTTTCTGTTTTGCCAGTTGCAAAACACACTAGGAATTGGTCTTTATCAAAGAACTGACACTGTGATGAGAGGTCGACATTTAATGCCTATTTTGTTCTTGTGTGCCCTATTGATGTTTAACAAAAAATGATAACGACAAGAAGTCCAAACTGATAGTTATATTAATATATTTCAATATTTACAAAATAAACATTTACAGCTGTAGATTCATACAGCATTTCATTTTTTACAGAGATAAATGAAATAATACTTGAAACATTCATCATAACCAACAGTATCACAAAATAGGAAATATCACAGACGTGTGTTCGCAAATCGTATACATGTACCAAATTATAAGAAATGTTTCAAGTAGCAGGTCACCAGCAACTACCCATAGCCTTGTGTATCGCTCATAAAAATTATATGTATGATCCTAGGTTTCAAACTGATATAAAACGTTTTATTGTTAGAGGCCTAATTGTATGAATGGCGTTACTATTGAATATGCTGTCAATTTTGTCAATCGATGCAATCTGTTTTAGCACAATACACAATTATTTAGAACTGCTAGTGACAGCTCAGAATTGCATTTCAGTGACATCTAATGAAACTGAAATATCAGCAGTGTGCGTACAAATTCCAACTTTCACTTAAACATGAGCCAATATCTGACATATCACCATGTGCTCTCATAAAAAAGGAGAGACAGGCAGCTACCAAATTATGATTAAACATAAGTAAGGACGGACAGACATGCAACAACAAAATTATTATTTAACCTAAAGTTAGGACGAACAGACAACCACAAATTTATTATTCAACATCTGATCTATCACAACGTGCTCTAAATAAAATAAACACAAACAACCCACAGCTAAGTGTAAAGTTCAGTAACAGGTGTACCATCACAATGACCGTAGATCGTAAATGATGACGACATAAAATCAATATACATAAGCAATGACAACTAGAGCCAAAGTTTCTCAGGAAAATATCATAGTTGACGAATTTTAAACTTTAGATAATATGTGATCAAAAAGACGATATATAATAGTGTAAAAAGTTGTAATGCTTTCAGATGTCCCTATGCTTTTACAGTTACCGCTGTACATATTGTTAGTTTTAATTGTAGTTATCCATCGAAAAGTGCAGTTCATGGCATTTATGATTTTCTCGGTCTTTGGAAAAAAATCATAAAAAATCTATATATAAAAATATATTGCATATTCTATATTAAAAAGAATAAATAATTTGTAATATGTATCCGAGACATATTTCTCACTTCTTGTAGAAAAAAACACATGCTCACACGACAAATGCTGAAGTAATATATTCTAAACAAGAAACTCACATGATTGGAGTATTGAACATCAGAAATTATTTCATATATGTAATATATATACATATATGTAATACAAAAACGTAGGCCTCATACCCAATTGATTTTGTTCTGTATATATATAACTAACCAAGAGTAATACACAGGCTAAGCAGTGTATCAACTCGCTCACTGACGCCCTGTTATGTGGTCACTAGCTACCGTAAAGTCAGTAGGATAAACGTTCCCTTTTTGTTGGTTCCACGGTTCACTAATCTTCCTGTCAGTGATTGTCTGATGCATTTTAATGTTTTTATTCACTCTCCTTGGCTTACCGATGAAGAAATCTGCTCTTTTACATCATTTGGCGATTTCTCTTCTGACACCTCAATCTGAATCTCTGATTGCCCCTGTCCCTCATGTTTTGAATCAATTGCCCCCTCTGGGACTGGTCTTGATTCCTCATCATCCTCACGTTTTGAGTCCTCTACAGATGTCTGCTCTTGCATCTGCCCAGTCTCCTCCTGTTCGGCATTTGGTGCCTTGACCTGTTCACCTTGTACGTCGTTTCCTCCCTGAACTTTCTGCAGCTTCTCTAACTCCTCTCTAAGCTCTTGTTTAAATCCCTCGTGATCGCCTCCGTTCTCCGTTATATCCTCGTCACCCTTTGTTTCCGATCGCTCTGTGATCTTACCATTGTGGTCCTTTTCTTGGTCTCCATTTATGAAAATTTTCAGATCGATGTTTTGTCCTTTATCTGGAACTGTAGAGGTCGGTGATACATTTCCTGCCTGGGATGGGGCTACCCCAGCAGACATCATGTCCGACATGGAATCTTGGCCATCAATAGATGGATCTACCATAGAGCTCATGGCAGACAATGGAACCTCTCTGGTGTTGAGGGTCTGTGTAACAGATTCAATATCTTCCTGTGATTCTTCAACAGTTGTTTCCAGTCCATGAGTGCGACCTACCTGTTTTGCCATTTCATTATCATCTTCAGCCAGGTTCACAGAAACAGCTGGTATGTCTATGCTTACAAATGTATCAACAGTGCGGTTATTCTTGTTCCTTGGTTTTCCAGCTGTTCCAAGAGGAGGCACAGACACTACAATCGTCTTAACATGTCCCTGATTGAGAATTATTTCCCCTTCCTCATCACCCTCCATTAAAGGTGTCATCGTGAGGGACTCCCGGGACAAAATGTCACGCCTGCGTCCCCCAGACTTCGGAATGTCATAAGCATTCCTGCTTTTGTCCTTTGCTTCAGGGGATGGAGGAGGCGGACCTGGAGATTCTGCCTTCTTCATATCATCCTGTTTTGTGTTAGCTGCACTTGAATTACTGCTAATTTCTTCAGACTTTCGTCCATTATGCATTGAGGAACGATCAGACATTGGGTCTACCACAGCCATCCTGGAGTCATTGGCCACACCATTTTTAGTATGTTCACTGTGTAAAGCCAGCTTAGTTGAAGACGGTGTGACATCAAAGTCTGCTTCATTGACTGCTGGCCAGGGTTCGGGTGTGGACCCCATGGTCGACTCCCGTTTCCTATCTGCTGGAACTTGAAGGTCGAACGAGGTGAGGGTAGGCTCTCGAGTGTTTACAGTGTTCTGGTTTGTAAGAACAGTGACATGACCTGCCCGATCCTTGACAACTGGCGTGGCCAGTGGTGTTGTCAAATCTGATCGATCATCTTCCTCTTGCGGAGAGGATGGAGGAGGTGGGATTTCAGGAACCTCATTTGCAGTAAAATGAACACTGCGACTACGTGAAACACCTGCCCCATTCTCGGCTGTCTCCTCGTGTTTCTTCTCTTCAATAGTATCAAGACCCAAACCTGAGGAATGTAAAATATAAATAAGTATTTACAAGACAGGAAACTTTATCTGTGTATTGTAAAGATGTTTATGATAAAATGACCTTTCACAATGTGAAACATCTGAAGCAAAAATGTACAGAAAAAAATAAACATCCTCGGCACATACATTGAAGTACTAGATGGTAAATATACTCAGTATTACCTAAGGTATTCATATAAAATATAAACCATCATGGAATAATTGGCTAAAACATTACTATTCACATGTTTTACCAATATTTTATTTATACTTCCATAAAAAGGAAAAACTAGTCTAGTTAAATGGGAAGCATTATTGATATTTTGAGTTCATGATTAGAACATCATTACATCCGCAACAAAACATTGGCGGTCTCATCCGCTAACTACCACAAATGTTTGTATTTCACAGCATTCGGCCCCATAATATATCCTTTTTTTCATTTGAAATATTTAATAAATTTCATTTTTGAATTTAGTTCTCATAAACCAAATCACATCTAACCATACAATATCATTCATGTCTTTCTGGTGAAGGATAGGTACTGATCCAAAATCATTGTCACTATTCATACCTCAACCTGTACTTACATCCAGTCGTTCTTACAGCCACTTTGATAGAGCATAAAATCAAGATCCGTCACATACTTTCTATGTTGTCAATTAGTTAACAGTACAAATGTACGGCGAACGCAGTCAAGCTTAACATAAAATGCCAGTATCAGGTTCATGCAGGTTGTGTAGAAGTTAAGTCGTACACAAAAAACATTTCAAAAACTTCCTTTGACTTTTTGGCGTATCATATCGCCTCTGTCAGAACTAATAGAACCTCAAGAGTCTTCAGCCAAATGTCATCACACAAAGATAACATTCTATTCCAAAATTACCAGCATTAACCAAACTAACGACACCCTGGAAATCTACAATCAGATTGGATTTTCTTTTTCATTTGCCCGCATCTAAGTTCTACTGTAGAAAACCATTACTTTTCTTGAATCACTTTAGACCGTTTCTCGTAAAAATACTGAGGATCAAATCCTGAGAATGATCGAAATTTTGATTGACAATGTCTTCAAATCTTTATTTTGTGGCAAAATTTTCTGACAGATTATTGGCATAACAATAGAAACTCATTTGGCCCCTCTCTTGGCTGACATATTTATTTTCATACAAGGCCCAATCTTTTAAGATCTTATTCAAAACAGGTAACAAAGACCTTGCAAAGCCCTTCAAGTTCTCTTTCAGATGTCTTAAAATCCGAAGAATACAGACCAGGATTGGAAATCAATGATACCCCGATTTCTATCTTCAAGGAAATCAATTTCACTAGCTGTATGACAAAAGTGATGATTTCGTTTATACTGTTTCAAATTTTCTATTTCCACATCCTACAGTGTTTTATATATTGCAAATGATCCAACCTTCAATGACTTGTTCCCGATATCACAATATTCATGAAAGATAACCTTACAATACTGGGATTCGGGATACACAGATGAATATACAGACTGCACCAGGATTTTGTCGTCACCGTTATATTCTCACTGGGAAATATTAATATTCTATTTCCTTGTGCATATGAAGTTAGAGTGCTTGATGCTCGTTAGTATGCCCAGTAGTTTCATTGCTAAATCTGGTTTTCTACAAGTAATATTCCATACTTGGATTCCCTAGTCGATAAAGCACCAAGCATTTACTCTTCAAGAACGCCTTATTTTAGTCTGTGTGTACATTTGTCTTTTATTCAAATTTTACCCTTGTTTCATTGATTTTCAGCTTGAAATTAAAACAGAAATCATTTTTAAGCATTTCGTTACATTGCTGTTGTTTCTAAGAGTACTTGTCATAAGGAAAATACATGCAAAGGTGTCTATAAAGCCATTAAAGAGAGCAGAGTAAAGTGGTCTTTATATAGAGGTTCCATGACTATGAATTGTTTTACACAGGTAATCAAACAACGGCCTTTACAGACAGCTGGCTTTGTATAAAGGTTGCCTGTAAACCAGGCTGGACTGTTGAAAATTTCCTGATAGGCAGTAATATATTTTTTTTTAATTCCAATAATGCTTTTTATGTTAGCAGTTTCCGTTTTTCATCAATTTTATCTCACAAACAATTTCATCCCTCATTTCAGGAAACAATGGCAATATTTAGATTAAAAAGAGAGAAAAAAGGAAAGAAATTGTCTCATATATATATATTATATATCAGAGCAGTGAGTACACAATTGTCACTCCGTTTACAATATTAATTCAATTCTGTCTTAATATTGTTACAAAAACCCTCTATAAAATAGCTCCAGGTTCAATTCTCTTGAGAATTGGGACCGAAATAATTGTATTTGAGAGGCATCTCGAAGTCATGTTATTCACAATTGCCTAGCAACTTCTGTCTAAGATCCTATTGGGAACAAGAAACTAAACCATGCATACTGCCAGTCTGCTATTCTTGATATCAATGCTAGCAATGTTGAAAGTACTAGCTACTGTTTATACAATAGTGGAAGAACCAACTACTGTACACACAATGTTGGATGCACCAACTACTGCATAACCATATTAGAAGTACCAACTAATGTACACATACTGTTGGAAGGACCAACTACTGTACACACAATGTTGGATGTACCAACTACTGTACACACAATGTTGGATGTACCAACTTCTGTACACACAATGTTGGATTGGGTAACTACACATAAACCTTGAAGGACAAGCTATAACCACTATTAACCTTGTATAAGTTTAATAATACTGGATACAAGATACTATAAAAACTCCAGTTATGGTTCTGATGAAATCGTTCACCATTTCAAACATCCTAGACAAAAGATGTACACAATCACACTGGTCATGATAGGATAAAACATATCTAATATACTGGCATCTACATCCTTTTTTAATTTGATTGTTTTCTGTGATATTTATTCATTTATCTTTCTAAAATCTACCTTTATTAACAATCAGACTGCTGTGATCTCATCTGGAAGAAGTAATACACCTAACTAATCCCATGTACTGTTCAGCACAGAGCAGCTGATTTGGTATGGAGATCGGACATCTATTAGATTTGTATTCCACCGGAAAATACGGTCAGAGTCGTTTCCCACTGGAGAATGCGCCAGTACACGTGGGAGGTTGGTCATGCTTGCCAGAGAGAAGCAGATGTGTTTCTGATCATGATTATGATCAGGTGTTAATACAAAGTCCTTCTCCCAGGTAATTTTAGTCACTAATTTAGACCTCCAGTTTGGATTACAAATGACAGAGTAAAAAGGACAAAATCTAAGCTAGACTTTAGTTGTCCTACATTTAACCAAGGGAATGTTTTCTCTGTATAATTCACCAGCAGCCTTACCTTTGATCATTGTAGTGACAACTATATATATATATATATATATATATATATATATTCCTCATAAAGTCTTTTTTCAAAATAACATTAAGTTAATGCAGCATAGGATTTTGCACAGACACGCATTTAACAGAAGTATAAAATTATTCATGCATAGATATAAAAGTCAATACATTGCATGCAAAATGGCTATAACACTTATAAATTGTTTGGATTTCATTACAAATAGGGAAAAAAATACAAGAATTTGCAGAACTATTTCAAAACAAACTGTTTTCATTATGATGCTGCAGTGTCAGTGACAACATGGCAGAAAGCACATACATGAGATAAAAGACAATTGATCCGAACCCTATCATTTTATTTTCTATTTCCTGGTTCCCAGACACAATGAAAGTCAGTAAATTAAATGGAAATCAGAATTCAGATAAACATTTGTTGTAACAAGTCGACCATAAGTAGTTAATCATTCTTGTACGCTGGAAACTGACATTTTTCATATTTGTAAAAGAATATCCACTCTCCGGAGTCATATCACAGCTTATAAACTACCTCTTAGCTCTTTAATGGGAGGTAAGCATTTATGCTAAAGCTCAGAATAACTATGCTTACATATCAGTTGTGCATTGAAAGGAAATAATAAAATGCATAAGTTAATAGCATGTTCAAAGTTGAAGTAAGGAGCACTTGCAGGTCCATGCAATGATATATATGTATAGACACACTTGGATTTTTAAGCCAAGAAATAAAAAAGTACTGCAAAAACAATTCACCAAAATCCTTCAATTGACATGCATTGATAAAATAAATAGTGCATTCATGGTATGTATTGATGATGGAGTGATGCTTTTCCAGAATATTTAGTAGTTTTACAGGTATCAGTAGATATTACTTACCAAAAATCCTTCCTGTAGACATTTGATAAGCATGAAATAACAAACAGTCATTTTGCAATTTACTTTTTCTTGCTTAACTTAAATGAAATCTTTTCTGCAGTCCAAATAGTAGTGTAACAATGGTGCTGTACAAGTACTAATTAATTTTTAAAAAGTACCCTAACATTGATGATGTTATCTATAACATTCTACAGATCTAAAAATCACATTTATGTTTTTTTTTTATGATAATGTGGCTCTAAAAGATGATGTAATTTTTCAATTTAACATTTGATAAGATAAATGGGATTTTTCAAGTGTTTACACAAATTCACGACTCGTTATGCTAATGTTAATGAAACTATTACTATTACTGCTATTGCTCCTTGGAAATCAAATGAAAACAGAACACCCTTTTTTTGCTTCAAACACAGTTCACAAATAAATTATAAATAGAAAATTTTACATAAATATATGAAGCCATAAAAGTAATTAATACTGTTTTGGAAACTAAAGCTTGATCAACATGCCTGCATTACTCTTACGTAACATTGAAATTCTGTACATGGACAAGTACGGCCACTGACTTGGATTTAGAGTTAAAATCAATTATTCAACATACAGGATTCCAGAGCACCAATAGGAAAAGAAATAAAACTCTCTCATTAAATCTCATACATGACATCCATCCAGTAATGATCCCCTCAAGTCGTAGAAATCTGAGACAGACTCAAACACTGAATCTGCCTGGCAGTGTTAATCAGAAATTATTGTGCCTTTATTATAGGACTTCCAAGGATATGACATGAAAGCTTGCTATCTTTCAGTATCAAAATTCTCTAGAAAATAACACAATGATTTGAGCTTCAGCAAAGGCTCCACATGTGTACAGTGAAAAACAGCAAATTAAAGATTTAATGCTTTAAAGAGAGAGAAAAGAAACAGTCCTCCTCCAATGTTTTAATCTGACATGTGAATACAAATTCATCAGAAAAACCATATGGTGGATCCTAGCTACCTAAAGAGTAGAGGTCTACGCTAATGAAAATTCAACAGAAGATTTTACCGTATCATAATTAAGACTTTACATTCAAAAGACAAACTTTCACTGTTCCCACTGCCAAACTGTTGTATAAAATTGGCAAGATCTAACAAAATTTGGAAAATTCCAGTACATCAATCTGTGATTATAGATAGCCTTGGAGCATAGTATCTCCTGTAGAATGTTTTTTGACAATTCTGATCAAATTAATGATAATAATAGCACAATAAAAAAAGAAGGAGGGGGAGGGGGTAGGTTTGGAGCTGAAATAATAAGACAATTATCTAATTATGAATCAGCACTAGGACTACTCCTAATAACAATCTATTTCCTAGCAATGAAATCCAAATCTTTCTCTCAGAAATCCCTAACTTAATTTACAAACAAAGACACACCATTGCTAACATAGTTTAGATAACACTGTCCAGACATGAAGATTTAAGCCACATTCATCTTAAGTCTTCTCAAAACACACCTTCCAACAAGGACACATTCAACAGAAATCATGTTACGTCTAAATCAGTTGACTGGGATTAATGAAGTGACAGTGTGTTGAGAATGACGATCAATAAGTGAACTAGGGGGCAGTGTAGGCCATGTGTATCATATCACAAATTAAAAAAAAAAAGTTAATTTATGTGATTCAAATGCAATTTTGGAATTTTAAAACATCTTTTTAAAAAGCGTTTGTTTCGCATTCACAAAAAAAAAAAAAATGAATGTCTTTTAGAAATAAAGTGATAACTGGGATGAATATGTGACAGATCTGCATAAGTGAATATACACTTAACAGGTTGAAAATAAAAAATTGCTTGTTACTATAGTAACTATTCAAATTACATCTCAGATATATCTCTGAACATTTTACCAGATTATTCTATTTTTAATGTTTTCCAATTTCTTGTCATTTCTGAAATTTGATGCCAATTCTTGATTGAGAAGTTTGTATATAAGTTTTTTAAAAATTTTATTTGAAGAATAAAAAGATATGCTCGCCTTCATGAAGATAGAAAATGGAGTACGAAAGTCTAATAGCTTGTAAATGAAAATATTTGCAACAGAACAGAAAATGTCAGGATACAGAAAAGATAACTTACTTATCGACCTTACTCATAAGTATGTAGTAGTAATGCATGGAACAAACACTGACGTTAATAGCCTATGTGTAGGAGAATCGATTTCATGAAGCAATGGGTAAAAAGTCCCAAGTTTTATACTGACCTGTCCGAGTTCGCTCTGGTGAAGTTTCCCGTGGGGAATTCATAGGTGCCCTGATGTTCTGTGTGGGAGAGAGCGTGCTTGTCCGTGAGATCATCAGATCTGCTTGAGTACCCTCTGCTGTCGGTGGAGGGGCTGAAGGCTCCCTAAAGAAGGCCTTGGAGGGAGAGTGAGCCGCCGCAGGAGTGGTGGCTGGGGCCTGTGGCACTTTAGTACTCACTGCCGGTGAGACAGCATGCAAAGGTGTCCCAGACATTCCAGTTGCAGATCGTGTTGGGGACTAATAAAAACAAAATCTGGTAACAGTATCTCAACATATGTACAATAACATATCAACGCTTTTGAAATATGCCAAGTTAACTAGATGGAAATTTTCTGCAAATGGAATGCTGCATACAAGAAGAAATGAAAATGATAAAGAGAAAAAGATAAAGAATAGTGTTATAATTCTTCATGTATTCAAAATTAAATTCATACTTTACTTACATTTCATTCATTTTTTTAATTTTTTTTTATTTTTTTTTATTTTTTTCTGAAATTCTATGGTGAATGTTTGTATGGTGAAAAGCTTACCAATATCATGCAAAATACATTAAAAGCACACTCAGGTGTTCCCTCAATAAGCTGCTGTGATGAACATCAGACATGACCTATTTATTAATTTTACCTGTGATGACTTGAATATTGCATGATAATATAGTGCTGATGCCATGGACAAAACTCCATGTTAGGCTTTTGAATAAATCATTCCTACCCAACATTATGACATACAGCAGGGTATATTCAGAAAGTGTATGGTAACAAACCAGATATTCAGTTTTATGCCAAAAAAAGCATGTTTTAATATGTCCCAGTTGTTCACAAGGACAGCTTTGGTAGTGGTGAACTGCGGAGGCTGCCCAGGAGATTGTGTAAATGTGATTTAGAATGCATGATGGCCCTGCCAAATCTAACAATCTGGCTCTGGTTGTTCAAAGGCTGGTTAGAGATAACCAGTGGTTAGTGCAAATTTTTAAACATGAATTAAACAAAATTGCTGGTACACTTTATCATTTCGCATTCATAAATTTGTTGAGACAGGTCAAATTGGTATTTTTGAGTGTCAACTTTGCTTTTTTAAGTCCTTGAGTTTTTAGTGGCATCAATTTGAATTTTTCACTAGTCACTGGTTAGCACAGACTCACCTTTGAGCAATCAGAGCCAGAAGGACAGAAAACCTCTTAACTACCCTCAATAAACAATCATTTATAGTGACACATTGACACGGTTGGCCAACCAGATGGCGCCACTGCCTTGTTCAATCTTTATTTTGTTTTTTGCATGATTTGCAATAAGAAAGTACTTTCTCATCATTTTTTTTTAATCAAGACTTAATATTTATTCAGTAAAGAACAATCTTATAAAAAATAAAATTTGCTGTAATTTGTCCCTTTTTTTTTTTAATTTTCATTATAAAACAAAATAGGACCAATGAAAGAGTTACAAATGTATACTGAATATCTCAAGTCCTACTGTTCACTCACGTATGATATTAGAATTTTATTTTTTTTCCATTTTTGGTAAAACTTCCTACCAGAAATTCCTACAATCCTGATCATATAAATGACAATTTCTTGCTCCAGTGAACAAACACTGAAAAGAGAAACTTATTTGCTTGTATGATGAAGCCCCAATACAACTGTGGTTGATTTAGTATTTCAATGAAGTGACCGCTGAGGAAAGACTGTTCAACTAGGTAAGCTTAATAAGAAAACATGGGATAGAACAATGGATATTGTTAATTAAATACCAAGAAAAATTGTTTACAATGGACAAGAACATGTTCTTGCAATAAAGTATATGAAAATATAATGATTGACTAATTATTCTGAAACAGAAAGCATAACCTCATAACTAAACATTGCTAACCACATGAATAAGACATGTCTTATAAGATATTTATAAGAATTTACTATAACAAAATTGTCTCTTTCAACCATATAAAAAAACAATCTTTTCTTTAATCAAAGTATAAGAACTGCCTCCCTTAAGAAATACAGAAATTACATGAAGATTGTCACCCTTTTGTAGCAATGGTCTACCTTAAGTCATATTTCAATTCTTCCAGGGATTGTTGTAATCATTGCAATTCATTTCAAACAATCAAAACTAATGAATTTTTCATTTCTGCCAAAATAAAGATAGATTTCTGCTAAGAGTAAATTCAACATTAAATTGTATATATATTAATCTACCATTTTAATTTCAATTCTGAAATTCAAGAATTCCAGCCATTAAAAATTTGGAAGGGCCAAGAGATAAATAAACAGATATATTGACCCTCACCAACCCTCACCAACCCTCATCATTTCTTCATTGTTATGGCGCCCTTTAGGAACAGTGACAACATGTCAGTCACAAGAAAAGGTCACCTATTAAAATGAATACAACCAAGATAGTAGTAAAATACCTTATATAAATATAGTACATAGAAAACCATCACAGTGTTTTAAACCCTTTACCAGACCATTCAAATGTATACATTGTACCACCAACACATCAGATATAAAACCAATCAGACCAAGTCAAACATTCAATGTCGCTGAGAAAAGTTCCACAATGCTGTGATGAAATACATGGTATGTATATATGACAGCCATGTACATTAAGTATTTCTCAAATCTGCCTGTGTGAATATGAAATTTACATGACTGAGATATCCTGGATAGACATAGAAACAAACAATACTTTTGATTAGAATAAAACAAACCTGACATATGAAATTAGAAAATGGGAAGTGTCAGTCAAAATTGACATACATATATCTTTCTTTAAAAAAAAAAAGGTCAAATAAAATTCTTTTAAATGAGATTTGAAGTTCTTCCATTAAAAGTGAAATATCTTTTTGTTTAACTTTCTTTTAATTACCACAGACAGATTTAGAAAGCTGAATGATAGGACATACAACATCCAGCACCGATGATGATGAAGCCTGGGTGACACATGTGATTATCTTCCCTGGTCCATGTGTATGCTTGCCTCAATGCCATTGTTACAATAAAATGTATACATAAATATATATTTTAAGACTCACATGCCAGTATGTCCATAAATGGACAATGTCCCGCTTGAATCGCTGAAACTTAAATATTAACATTTTTCTTACAGAATGTGTGCTGTTGATTGTGTGTTGTAATGTTAACTGAAGTCAACAGTTCTTACACCCCTTCCTGTAAACCAGCTTCAAGGGACGTGGGAGGATCTGTTATCAGGTATAATCTATAGATTCACAATTAAATAAAAATAAAATCCAATGTTAGGACAAAAATAAGTAAACTAACAGTCAAACCCATCCCAACCCCCACCCAAACTGGGTAATCCCCACCCAAACTAGGCTACCCCCAGAAAAACAGCATGATGGAAAGAGTCAGCTGAGCAACAGTTCAAGAATCCCTTGCGCCCCACCCCCTTCACAGACACATACCTAAAATTACATCAAGGTGAAAAGGAACAACAAAGTCAATTGTTTCCCACTTACAATACAGAATCTGCTGGCCCAACTTTCTCCCTTAAGAATAAAATGGACTATTGGTAAAAGAAATGGCTGTATAGTTTTATATCCACGGAAACTTTCAGACAAACTTCTTTGTGACAGACTAACAAATAATATCCCCTATGCACTGTTTGTGCTTTATTGTAATGCACATCATAGTTCAGTTGATCTCTGCTTAGATTTTACAACAGAAAGTAATTGTTCAATTTCACATTTAACATTACTTAGTACATGTAAACCATTGTATAAATTTCCGTAATGTCAAGCCAAAAGTATTAGATACATACAGGAATACACAAATCACTCTACAGAAAGATATCACGGTAACTGTATAGCAGTTTCTGTCAATCAATATCTTGTAAAATATCAGTGGATGTAATTCTTCAAAAAAAATGTTTTACATTTTATAAAAAAATATAGAAGAGTGATATTTTAATGTTGGACCAGTCTTTTCTTATTTTTTGTCGTATTTTAGCTTTAATATAAATTTGCATTCTAAACAAAGTGAAACATAAAACTTTTCCACAATACATGTTTAAAAGGTTGTGAGCACACTTTACATCTAATACAATGCTATTGAACTAGATAACTTCCAAAATCTAATGCATGTTATAGAGTAAGTCACTAGAACATTGTCACTACAGAGACTAGAGACAGGGGGCTCAGCTCACACATTACATTCCTAGGACTAAATCATTATCTCACATCTTATATTGTTGGACCAGTCTTTTCTTATTTTTTGTCGTATTTTAGCTTTAATATAAATTTGCATTCTAAACAAAGTGAAACATAAAACTTTTCCACAATACATGTTTAAAAGGTTGTGAGCACACTTTACATCTAATACAATGCTATTGAACTAGATAACTTCCAAAATCCAATGCATGTTATAGAGTAAGTCACTAGAACATTGTCACTACAGAGACTAGAGACAGGGGGCTCAGCTCACACATTACATTCCTAGGACTAAATCATTATCTCACATCTTATATTGTTATGTATATGAGAAGTATTTCAGGCATATCCTACACTCTGACACTGTTGAACCAGTTACTAAAGGTGTTGTAGTAATGGGTTTTACTGTAATGGGAGGGTATTGGAGCAGAAATTCAATTTCTCTCATTATAAGGCTGATTTGTTTTTCTGAAATTTGAAATTTTAAAGTATAATATGTCAACTTTATAAAAGTGTTTTTCTCTGTGGGAAAATTGGGACATTGTTTGACTACTCTATAGTATCAAATGTAACACAGAATCCTTTGAAAGATTATCCTTAGAAAAGCAAAGTAAACATATTTCAATTTTCTTAACTGCTTAGCAGTAATGATGGCATTTTGAAAGAATTATTTAAAGCCTTAATCTAACCCTAAGTATCCAACAAAAAGCCCAGAGGCCAACACATTACCTATGACTTTCAGTTAGCGCTATCTGATGGTGATATGGGTGGGCTTATTAAAAGGCATGGGCTTATTGATGGATAAATAGAGCACAGTATAAATTCTTTTAAGTTGGAATGAATTTTTTTTTTTTAAATTTAAAGACCATATACAATTGTCTATGATCATACCATGTGTACATGACCGAATGCATGTCAATCAAAAACACACTGATCTAACTATGCAAGTGGAAAAAGTTTCCAGAACAATATTGAAATGAAGTTATAAAATAACCTTTATAGTGATATTAGCACACTTCTAGCATTAAATGAAGAATGTTTATTGAAATCAACACACAACTGGCTTTCTACTGAAAACAGCACACTTTATTTAATGTAAACAAAATCCATTAAAATCTCTACTGAAGTATAGTCAGGTACATGAGCTCTACGTAAGGGTATAAGCTACCTTTTTGAGGCTTTTTCAGACTTATATTTCCATAATGTAAATGTTCAACAGCATGAACACTTTGACTGTTGGCTCAGACTTTTGATAAAGGATGAATGATAATGATCACAACATTGATAATGGTAACAGCATACAAAATCATTCCATTTTTATTGGTCAAGGAAGACCTCTCATCTATCAGAAATATTTCCAGTCAGGTAGCTTATACTTGCAAAACCTGTGTATTCATGACAATCTAAAGACCTAGCTGTAGACAATGAAATTCTGACAAAAATGGTGTAATTATTAAAACATACCTGAACAGCTTCAGCAGCCACCTTCCTCTCCTCCTGGGATACGACTGGTATTTCCAGGGGAGCTTTCGGTGTGGACGGGGACTGAATGTTGACCTGTGAGGGTGAATTGTGTTCAGACTGTTCTTGGAGTTCTGCAGATTCCCGTAGACTCCCAGGTGGCAAGGGCATGGGAGCTAATGATAAAACATATATTTGAAATTTATCAATCTCTTCTAATATGCATACCATTCTTTATCACATGGGCCTGAAACATACAAGCCCTCTTCCCCAGAAACATTGTTACAGTCCCCTGTGTTCTTTACTTCCAATATACTGTATTCCAAAATAAAAAAGAAAGCATTTGTTTTCAAGAGTATAAATTATTCATTAAATATGACAGCATGCAAACATGTAAAATGGAGAGATTTCCCTTCAGTAATAGCCACCGTCTACCCCATAGCTTGGCCAGTCTCCCAGGAATTGATCTATAAAAAACTGGATCCATTGAAAAATACTTTCAGCATTACATAAACAATGGATTTGTGAAGACAAAACTTGAAACATCTGAGAGTAGAATACCTACCAAGTGTGAAGTCTACATCTCTGTAATTTCTCTTGTTATAGGTAAAGGTACGTGTTTTACGTAGACCCAATGGTAGCTCTGGTAGGCCAAGGGAAATGGATGGAATCTTGACTGGAGTGTCTGCTGCAAAATTCAGTGTTTGATGCTATTTTTAAGCAGAATAAATCAGAAATATTCAACATTTTCCAAGCAAGACAACAACACTTCATCAATCAAAACTTGCTAAAATTCTTGTGCTTTGTAAATTCTTGTGCTTTGTAAATTCTCGTGCTTTGTAGATTCTCGTGCTTTGTAAATTCTTGGACATTTTCTGCTGTATGGATTCCATGTTTTCATGATTAAAGTTTTTATTGTACCGTAAGTGTTTAAAACAAATCCACAGTGCCACAGAAATCAGATCTTTATTGTAACTCTTCTCCATAATAACCCCAAGGGATTGTAAAACAAGTTTTCTCTGCAGTAAAATGTGTTAGTGATAAACTACAAGCAATTAAAGAAATTCATTTTCTACTATGAGAAAAAAAAATTAATATTAGATAAAAATTAAATCAACAAGTAACAGAAAACTTAACTAAATAGTCTTTTCTGCACAAGAATATCTTGAAAGTGAAAAAAAAATCTGTAATATCATCACTACTGATATTAACTCTGGTGTATTACAATTTGTATTTGTTGTACCAGTAGTTACCTCCAATAGCTGGTAGAGGCTTCCGAAATCTTGGAAAATCTTTCATGCCCCCAAAATAGAAGTCACGGAAGGACCCATAATCACTATCAAATCGCCTTTCGTTGGTACGTTGTGTGTCGGTCACACGTCCTGTGACTTGACCTTCCTCTTCTTCTTCTTCCTCCTCTTCCTGTATATTATCCTCCTCATCATCCAGGTAAAACACAGGCTTTGTTTCCATCAGGTGGGCTTGACGAAGATGCCGGGCCTTAGATATATGTAGGTTCATCTTCTTCTGCTGCAGAAGGTCAGAACTAGCCGTTGACATGTTGGTGTTCACACGGTCATAAGGTGGCAAGAAACGTTCTATAACCTCATGGATACGATCTCGTGACATGAAGTCACTGAAAGTAGACAAAAACATCTGATATTATATTCACATTTTACTCCTAAGTTTGGCTTGCTGAAAGACAAGTAGCTGTTTAACTGAACAAGAATAAATGGTAATTTAAATTCCAAATTGAAATTATGGTAATGTGACATCTAATTAAGAGACACTGAGAACAGATTATCACATCATGGAATTTAAAAATAATTTGATTTGAAATTTCATAACTTATTTCATAACTTGTCAGTTACTTCACCTACTTTCACAGTTTGTTGATTTCATCAAGCAAAATCAATTTCCTCAATTAACAATATCAACGCATGTTAAGTTTTAATGAATATGAGACTGGTTTCTTCATTTCATGAAATAGAAATTGTCATCCAAATGAATCCATCACCAAATTAAGTACACATATATAAACATTGTACAGTGATCTGTTCTGAACATCCAAATTGGCATGACATGTAAAGTATTGTTCTTATACTGTGATTCTATAAGCAGCAATTCACAAATACCATACCATATTTATCAAGCAGTAAGCCCATGTCTGATTATCAGTACATCTTCTTACTTTTACTACAATGTAACATATTGGACCCTGGGCTTATTGCAGAGTAAATATGGCTGTACTCTAATCAGAGCAATGAGGGACAAGGCACTGACTTGTATACTGTGATTCAGTAAAGAATAATTTCTGAAACCTGAGTCCTTTATTACAGAGATGGATATTACCAAGCTGATTTTGACTGATGTAAGTCTGTCTTTGACAATAAGTCCCCTTGTCGATACTTTCACAGGTGTTATTGTCAGGGAACTTACTGTTACATGTTTTAGCTGCAATCTGATTTCAGCATTTTTTGCTGAATCTTATTTCAGATTTTACATGCTAAAATATGACTGAGGTTTTGAATGTCATTAATAAGCCATTATTGTGAATGTCCAAATTCATCATAGCACTTCAAAACTGATATTGCACTTAAATTTGATTGCATCAAAATAGGTATGTTCATAGTTTTTTGAGCCATAAACTCAATAGTCAGTCTACCTGAATTCTTTTGTGATTTAATTAATCTCACATTTAATAATACTATTGTCCAAAATGGATATTGATCTGCTAAACCATACATGCACTAGTGCTGGAGGAAATGGATTTTAAAAATTTCAACCAATTACCCATTTGGGTTTTTCGCTTTAAGGGCCAACCATCTATTTCAAAACAACGTTCTTAAAAACGTGACATCTTCTTGTTTTGGGAATTATTTACAAACAAATCTGAGGCAACGTATTCTGTCGAGCACCCCAACAGGAATCAAACCCATGTCTATGGTGTGATAATCCTCGACTCTACCAACTGAACGAAAGAAGAATGCTCTGTCAGCTGAGTGACAGAGACGGTATTTAACACTATGTACAAGCCACATCAACCCCTCCTTTAACACCACTCCCCCTGTTTATCTAAAGACTTCCTAAATCTCAACCTTAGACTCTTAATACCACAACCTGTTAGGTTTTCATAGGATGTCAGTCCTATACGCCCACACATTCCACACCATACCATGTAGCTGGTTATTCTCATTAGGACGATATTTTCACTATTTCAAGGTACATTGTTATGCAATTATTTACAATAACTTTCAATCTAATTAGGTGTTCATGAGATATCTTGTTCACATTTTTTTTTATTTCCATAGTGGTGAAAGATGAACTTTGACCTTTAACATCAACGAATGTCCAAAATCTAATCAAGCGTAGACCAATGTGAAATATCTGATACACAAGCTTTTTATTTCCAAAGATGTTAGACTGGTCTTCGACATTTTACCAATGACCTCCAAAACCACATCAGGTGTAGACCTTGATGGTAAGATGCTATGGTATGGATATGAATCAAATTTGTTCATGAGTTCATGAGGTATCTGGTATCATAGATTCACAGAACGAGGGATGCAGTTACACTCATGCACAACCAAATAGACAGTGATTACTATATACCCCAATTACCTAAGAGGGGATGGGGTATAAAAAATGAAAAGGGTTTCTACACTTATATATATTCTAACATTTAAGGTTCAATATATGAACCTTATTCAAATATATTCTTTAAGATAAACTTCACAACAGTTCGGTATACATTGTAATAATTTCTCAATCCATCCAGTTCTGGTGCTTTAAAAAATTCAATCCTTTCAACTGTAAACAAATATTGCAGCACTTGATGATTCAAATGTATGTACTTAAGGCCAGCAGTAAAACATAAAGTCAACACCACAGACTAGCACATTAATGTGATATAGTACACAGGGAGTTTAGAAACTGTTTAGTGGCTTTGTATTAAATGGCAATTGGATGTGTAGTTGGTAAAATAAATAGACTGAAACAACATGTTTCTATCAGCATGATCATTGTGTTATATTTGTTTTGAGTGGAAATATGAGAATTCTATGGGGAAATTTGATTGTACTTAAAGTATAACATAGACATGAGTAACAGATGAATCCACAACATCCATGGTATATTTTTCATTATGAATGCCATCTAACTAGGAAGTTTGTTGTCAATGTCAGTGAGAGACACAAATGATGAATAAATAATAAAGCTGTTGGTTAAACCACCTCTATCTTCCCTCCTCCTCCACATTCCCATCTCCCTCTCCCTTCCCCCCTCCACATCCCCATGTCTATCTCTCCTCCCCCTCCACATCTCAACCTCTATCTCCCCTCCACCTCCACATCCCCACCTCTATCTCCCCTCCACCTCCACCTCCACATCCCCACCTCTATCTCCCCTACACCTCCACATCCCCACCTCTATCTCCCATCCACCTCCACCTCCACATCCCCACCTCTATCTCCCCTCCACCTCCAAATCCCCACCTCTATCTCCCCTCCACCTCCACATCCCCACCTCTATCTCCCCTCCACCTCCACCTCCACATCCCCACCTCTATCTCCCCTCCACCTCCACATCCCCACCTCTATCTCCCCTCCACCTCCACATCCCCACCTCTATCTCCCCTCCACCTCCACCTCCACATCCCCACCTCTATCTCCCCTCCACCTCCTCCTCCACATCCCCACCTCTATCTCCCCTCCACCTCCACATCCCCACCACTATCTCCCCTCCACCTCCACATCCCCACCTCTATATCCCCTTCACATCCCTACCTCTATCTCCCCTCCACCTCCACATCCCCCTCTCTATCTCCCCTCCTCCTCCTCCATATTCCCACCTCTATCTATCCTTGCCCTCCACACCCTACTTTTTTTTTAAGTTAATCAGAAATATTTGTTAAAAGGAAAAGATCATCTTTGATTCAATAACATGACAATATTGGAGATCTGACGTCTGAACACTCAGTAAAGTTTAATGAGCTCCCCCAGGAGAATTTCTGTAAAGCCAAATATATATACAATGGTACAGAGATCATACAGGATCAACATGCAATGAAAAATGTTGTGATATTTATCACTTTCTTTTATAAGACCAGTTGCTTTTGCCTTGGAAGTTGATAGACAAGTTATTGATTGTCATGGAGTTAAAACAATAAGCTGAAATCTACATTTTTCAAAATAAAAATAAAAATAATTTGCGAAACTGTCGAATATAAATATTAAAATTCTGCTTAAACATTGCACATCCCAGTAAGTCAAGTGCTATATAATTAGGATCAAGTAAAGAGTTACTGTTTCTAACTTACTCTAGATATAGCTTTCTCATTAAATTTGATTTTGTCTCTGAGTAGAGAAACTCTGACATTTCAGAAAAGCCTTGTGTCATAGAATTTTACCACTAGGAGGCAACATCATGTCAGCTATAAAATAAGTTATAAAATTAATAACAGACAACTAACCTTTCACAAAAATAGCAGTGGTGATTAATTTTAGTTGGTCTGGTTTTCTAAGTTAACTTTAAATCACTGCTTAAAATTATGTCCCCTTGAATTATTGTCCATATCAAAATAGATAAAACAAACATCCAAATCTGTATTATACACTTGTCCAAGTCATTTAAAAACAATACTCAAGAAGCACCTTATATTTTACCTGGTAAAGATTTAAACTATAGATGCATTTGAGATTTTTACCTGGAAATAATGTAAAGACACTTGATATTTTACCTGGTAATGATATTAACATACAGTAACAAAATATTTTACCTGGTAATGATATTAACATACAGTAACATATTTTGCCTGGTAAAGATTTAAACTATAGATACATTTTACCTGGAAATAATGTAAAGGCACTTGATATTTTACCTGATAATGATATTAACATACAGTAACATAATATTTTACCTGGTAATGATATTAACATACAGTAACATATTTTACCTGGTAATGATATTAACATACAGTAACATAATATTTTACCTGGTAATGATGGAAACTACAGAGCACCTGATATTTTAACCAGTAATGATGTTGTCAATAGAGAAATTTGATGGTTTATCCAGTAATGATAACACCTAGAAACCAGACATTATGTGATGATTGTAATTTCTTCATCATAAACATGATTATGTCATTCAAATCAGTAAAATCTTATGTGTTTTCCTAAAAACTGCAAGCATATATTTTTACATTTAAGGAATCTCCAGGTGTGTATAAAATACTAAAACATGGCTGAGCCAAGTAATGGTTGAAACCAGGTAACGCTAAATCATTTTAATGCTGGTCTCAGAGGAACAAATTACCATGAAAAGTTTTCAGGCAGTAATCTCTATGTTCCATGTTGTAGGTATCACAAAGCAGTTTCAGGTGCGAGCAAAAGATATATATGTACCATTTATCTGTGATGGTACCAATGGGAGCAATATAGTTTATTTCAGGAGAGTTTCCACATTAAATTACATAGATAATGACACCTGATAAAGGTCACCAAGGAACCAAGGTGCACTTCCATTGACAATAAATCCTTCGTTAGACTTAATGACATTACAGCTGCGGGGTATGGAGAATTATCCACAGAAATAAACCATACCCATTAAAGTGGCTGATAACTTGCTGAATCTAGAAAAATGTGGTGACAGTTTTTCAACAGACTTGCACCAATTTTTTCAAGCACTGTCAGCTTAACACCAAATTTATGCAGAATCTAAATTTTGTCAATTCTTCAAATCTGTTAATTGTTGAAATACAAAACCACTATTTTATGTTTAATCATTGAAAATGATATCCAAAGTAAGAAAAATATCAAATTATCAAAATGTTCTCAAAACAATCCTAAACAGAAATTTCAGAAGTAAACTCCATACAGCAAAACTAAAATGCCCATGGATATCTTGGGTTTCAGGGGTATCTTCTCTGTCCTGACATGTTTATTTGTACAAAGCATCTGGTTCAAATAGCGTTTTTTGATATATACAGTATATGTCACTCACCTTTGTTTGGCATGATCCAATACTTTCACCAGAATGTCTCGTGGGAGATCAAGCAAATCGTCAATTCTACACAGCAGAGCAAAACAACACAACATACATGAAACACAGTCATATCACATTCCTTCACCGTTAAAAAGAAGCATGGGACACACACAAAAATACATTAACAATTTCAACATATAATGCATTACCTAAGCATTTTTTTTTTTTTCAATAAACTGATTGAAGCGAATGTTATTGTAAAATTAGAAACAGACAGCACAAAATTTATTGGTGTTTTGAAATAATATTCATAACTGGACCTGTCAGTATGACATGAATGCCTCCCGCTGGGACAAAACTGGAAATTTGAACTGTTTGAAATTTGTAAGTCCAAGGGGCATAACTCTATTAAAAACAATGTATCATTTAACCCAACTAAACAAACACATGACCTGCCTTTTTCCTTAATAAATGTATATACCAAATTCCAATTCAAAATTTCTGACAGGTAATGAGCAGAAGCTATTAGTTGCTTGAAATTTTCTCAGGACAAGGGGCATAACTGTAATAATATATTTAACCAGCAGTGAATAATCTTGAAATTAGTGCAATTTAAACCTTGATGGAGATTTTTAGAGTGGTCAATATCTTAAATATTTCAATATACATGCAAAGTGTTATTTCAGTCTATTGAGGCATTCTATAGTTATGGTGTGGAAACCAAAGTTTCTAAGTCAAGAAAAGGCCATAACTCTGGTAGAAACTGTCAGAAATTAGCAAAAATCAAAGCTGGCCTAAATTTTTAATATCTAAAGAAACATGCAAAATATTATTTAATTTCATTAAGGCATTCTTAAATTATGGTGCGAAAATTAAATCAGGACAGACTAATCATACATGGGTAACACTTAATGCACCCCATTTTCGAAGGCAAGGGCATAAAAAGGAAGTCTGAAGTATATATCTATTACACATGTGCTAAACATGTTAAGTATATATTCAATTCAGAATAGCTTAATGCAAGGGAAATAACTCTTTCATACTCTTTCCATTACATGTATTGTTGTATACACAGCCTGTTCAAAGTTTCCAATTCATAGTGTTTCTGTTAAATTTCCCTTCACCATTTAAAACACTTCAAATAAAGGCACACAAATAATTTTGTAAGGATTAATGTTCTAGAACACATAGACATCATTAGACATGTCTATTAAATAAGCTCTTTTTATGGTTCAATATGTATAACCAACTCATAAGTTTAGTAATAGATGGGACATCTTACAATGATAATAATTCTGAAATAGAAGAATATGTGACATCTCATTATGGCTACTGACCCATCCGTATCAAATGCTGTCCTGTCATGAGCAGAATTACCAATGCTTGAGTAAGGGGTTCGACGATTGTACTGACTGTATGTTGGTGACATCACAGCACGTTTTTTCTGTAAAATAAATCATTAAAATAATTTAACTAATGTTTACCAGTATGAAGAATATTGTATTTTTTTGGCATTTTAAACAAGTCTGATCAATTTGTGGAATTTTGAAAAAAGCGAGAGAAATGACATTCTATTCAAAATACCTACCTTTAAACCAATTTACAAAGAGTGCTAGGTATCAATGAAAGTGACAGTTTCTCACAGAGTTTAAATCATACCAGTATCTATGTATTTACAGTACCATTATGGTAATATGATTTCCAAATTATGTAAATTTGTCTGAAAAAATCTGAAAGTAAATTGAAGAAAAAAATGTTTCAGAAGAGTATGTTGGTTACTAATAAATCATCCCATTTGATCAACAAGATGCTATCTTGATTTTTAATGTTTTGAGAAGACAGTAATTGAAAGTTTCAAGAGATTATATGTAGTAATCAATAAATGTTTAAAATATTTACCTATCCTTTTTATGTATAACATGCTGAACATTTTTAGAGCAGAATCACCCACATATAACATAAAAGTCACTAAAACTCTGCCACTTCATTTATCTTTTACCACTTATGTGACACCAGCCACCCCCTCACCATGATAGCTCACGCAGGTTAAAACATTGGCCTGCTCAACCTCAATTAAGATCAGTGGTACTTGGTTCGATGACCCCTACCCTTGGGAGATTTGTTTTTCTAAGAAAGCTGAGAAATGGACCAGTCTTTACTGACATGGTTATGTCCTTAGGCAAGACACTAGGGAGACTTCTAATTCTTGTTCATCTCACTTGGTCGGCGCTGATCTTAATTTTAAAAGTATATTGCCCTCCTCTTAATGCAGTGTTGTCATTAAATATATTGTTATTTTCTTCCATGGCACCACTACTCTCTGACAAACTAGTTCCATGTAAAGTATTATATCCCTTGAGAAAGAAAATCTATTTTTTGGATTATTTTGTCAGGCATTGTTGCTTTCCAAACAGGTACAGTAGTTTCCAGTATCTGTGTATTACTTTCCTCAATACCCCAATATTTTGTAGACAGTTTCACCTATGTTAATATTATTGTTCCTAGAATTATCATCTTTTTTACAAGTAGATTCAGAATATGTGCATGATTTCCTTTGTCACAGCTATCCTCTAAATAAAAGGGTTAACATATCTGTGTATCATTTTCCTAGTATCTTCATACTGTCAGGGGATATTTTTAGCTTCCTCTTCAGGTATTTGTGAAGAACCAAAGAAATTTGCATTAATGTCAATATCAAACTCTAAAGAGTCAGAAGTATCTGACCATTCTCAATCTGAGGGAAGAGAAATTTCTTGAACAAAAGAGTGTTTACTTAATGACAATTACATTGATAACTGTTATACCTCCTCTACATCATTTCACCTGTTTCTTCTAAGAATTTCAGAAATTCCTGGGATAACATTTTTTTTCAAAAGAATCAATATTCCCCTGATTCAGACAAATGGGGTCATATCAGATAATTGAGTTGTAATATGAAACCAAAACCCATTACAATGTGTGTGCAACAAGGCGCCTTCTCATGACAAGGCATCTTGTTATACAAACTGATACTGAGATTGCACCTTGTTGCTCAAATCCTTATCTAATTTCTGAAGATAGTACGTTTTGTTAATAAGCAATTACCTTCTTTAATTATCTATATTTTACTTAGATATCAGAAAAAACTCATTTAAGCTAAAAAAAAATCCAAATAGCACCATGTTGCTCTGATGGGATGAAATAATCTGTGTATTTTGTTAATTGGACAGCGCTGATATTATAGAGGCCCATGCAGATCATATACCATCACCTACAAAAGGCGGATTATTTTTACAGTAGACAAACAACATAACATCAATTAATCATCTATACACTAAATACTAACTAAACTTATTATCACAACATCCCACTTCCAGTCCTAATACCAGAGACCATCACATCACTCTCATGTTTTACACTGAGCCCTACATTACTAATATCTAGGATAGTCTTCTGTCATTCTCCAATGCATAAGAAAATCACTCATCTGAGTTTTCTACAGATTTCCCATATTTTTATATGTTTGTACTGAGAGAAGGTATCACCGGGAATGTACAAGTCAGGAGAACGTGGTATATATTATGATAAATAGCAAAACTCTTACGATAAATGAAATTTTTCAATCTTCCACTTATGACAATTAAAGACTTATGATGGGTAATGTTGACTTATCAACAGTTAAAAGTTGAACTAACAAGTGAAATAAAGGCTGCCTTTGACTGCTAAATCCTGACTATACATTTTAATCAAAGTTTACCATTGTGCAGTGAGTTTGTAGTAAAATTCATTACTACATTAGAGATTGTTCTAAAGAGGCGAGAAGGGAAGCTCACACAGATCAGGGCTAAGGCATGCAAAAGGTCAAAACAAAGGTGATGTAAATACTGACATGATTTACTATATCCATGCATGTGTGTGAAGATGTGCAATCACTAAATACAACAGAAACTAATGGGAATTAAAATTGGCAATTTTCTAAGTGACAAGTTAAAAAAACTGACTACAGAATTCTACAGTCAGATAAGTACACATATTTAACAAGCAATATTCACATAGGTTTAGACAGGCTACATAATGTTATCATAATGATCTGGTATAGTTAAAGGTATTTAGGCAGACTATAGGTAGGTACAAAGGTATGTATACAGAGACACAAAACTACCTTCAGTACGGGCCAGCTGTCAGCCTGTAAGGAATCATCACAAATATATGTAACAATGTCAAAACTTTACAAATAGGTATCATGATCAAAGAATTCAAAAATGGCGAAAAACAAAGCTGTTAGTATTTTTTAATTATTTTTCATTAATGCAAAGGTAAAAATTAAATCAAAGGAACAAAACAAAAAAAATAACAGCTGGTAGTCATCCTTAATTAATCACAACTGCAACATGTAGCTCTGTTTAACAATATCTGAGAAAGTGCAGATAAATTTTCGATCGACTCTTCACAACAATGTCCTATAACTATATTTATTCTTCAATAAGCCTAAAACAGGCCCAACATAAAACTTCTGACATAAAACAGGGGAAGTAACTGGCTCTTTGGAAGACAATGATATGTCATTTCTTTGTATTTCAACCATGGTACTCAAAAACTATAACACTAAATTTATTTATGTTTATCATCAGCAATGAGTTCAAAGCTGTATAAACACAGTAATATTCATGATTTGAAACATTAGGCATTTTTATCATATCTATTTCTTATCACTCCAACGGCATCAAAGATTTTTTTCATAAAATTCATGATACTAAATTGAAGTAGCAGAATGTTTTTGGTCAATTCAATCTGTTTCTGGCTTTTAAAATTGGTTTGGTCCAGAGTGTAAAATAACATATTCATTTGAGAAACTTATCTTTCTACATTAATGATAGTATTGCAATGTGCCTTCAACTCGGAAAATTTAATACCATACCGCAAAACTGGGTACAAACATGTACAGCTATTTTATCAATTCATTTCAAAAGATGCTTCAGTATTTATTTCAGTGTTTCAATTTAATGAAAATAAATTTGAAAAAGTGAAGTTTGAAATTATAGCACATGTTACACTTCATGAGAAATGCTTTAAACAGCAATATAGCATTGTAAGAGTTGTGCATACATTTTGTAGGATGGCTAGAGTCTATAGATTAATCAAACATCATTATCTCTAACCCAAAAATAAGGAACAAATCAAACTAAAGATACTTCTATTTATTCAATTACTCAATTTTCTTATTTTTACATTTTAAATCCATTAAAAACAGTCAGCATCCCTATTCACCATTAAAGTAATGGAAATTCTGTTAGGACAAATGTCAGTAACCTATCTACTTCACAGTCAGCTTCATCAACTAAACAGACAAATAACTTTAACTATTGATTTAGTATAATAATTAACTCTAGTTTAGTAAAACTACCTCTGATGATCAGAGTGTATAGTGCTAAAGTTTAACTACAGACAAAAAACAACAAAGTAGTCCCTAAAGTCAGTCTCACCTTGAATTATAGAATAAAGTCAATAATTATGCATGCAAAAGATTGTAGATCAAGATATTAGAATTTCTTTCCTGAACGTTGATATACAGTAAGTACAGTAATAGCACAGTTTGTGATTTATGGATGTTACGTTATTTGAATTTGTTTGCCAGAACTACTTTCTAATAATGATGAATTGATTTCCTTCCATACATAAAAATCAACAAGTGAAAAGTTAGATCCCATGTAGGGAGATTGTATATACCTAATATGAATTTATCTCTATAGCCAAATAAAACCAGATTGGATCAACATCACATTTTACAAACTTAATGTCTACTGACATGATTAATTTCATTCTACACCATTACTAAGACATTATACATACTAAGTTATTGATAGTAAAATTGCTCTGATATTTTTTGGTGGGTTTGTCCAGAACTATCTATCAGTGAAAAATATTTTGTCCAGCACATTTTAACAGTAAGCAATAGGGAAGGATGTCATACTATTTTTATCAAGTATTAATAAGTAGTCTAAAGTTAAAACAATGTACTACAAAGTCAGTACAATCTAAAGACCACACTTGTATTAATCCCTAAAATATTGAAGCTCTCTAAAAAAAACTGTGACAGGATGATAAAACGACACACTTGGAAAGTGGAACCACAGTGATAACCAAACTGTCCAATAGGAGAGTGGATACAAGAATAATAAAACCTTCCACTGGAAGAGTGGAAACTAATACAATAGATAGACCATCCACTCTGACAGTGGGTACCAGGACAATAGATAAACCATCCACTCTGACAGTGGATACCAGGACAATAGATAAACCATCCACTCTGACAGTGGGTACCAATACAATAGATAAACCATCCACTCTGACAGTGGGTACCAGGACAATAGATAAACCATCCACTCTGACAGTGGACACCAGGACAATAGATAAACCATCCACTCTGACAGTGGATACCAGGACAATGAACAAACCATCCACTCTGACAGTGGATACCAGGACAATGAACAAACCACCCACTCTGACAGTGGGTACCAATACAATAGATAAACCATCCACTCTGACAGTGGGTACCAGGACAATAGATAAACCATCCACTCTGACAGTGGGTACCAATACAATAGATAAACCATCCACTCTGACAGTGGGTACCAGGACAATAGATAAACCATCCACTCTGACAGTGGGTACCAATACAATAGATAAACCATCCACTCTGACAGTGGACACCAATATAATAGATAAACCATCCACTCTGACAGTGGACACCAGGACAATAGATAAACCATCCACTCTGACAGTGGACATCAATACAACAGATAAACCATCCACTCTGACAGTGGACACCAGGACAACAGATAAACCATCCACTCTGACAGTGGACACCAGGACAACAGATAAACCATCCACTCTGACAGTGGATAAGATGACAGTAGATAAACCATCCACTCTGACAGTGGATACCAGGACAATGAACAAACCACCCACTCTGACAGTGGATACCAGGACAATAAATAAACCATCCACTCTAACAGTGGATACCAGGACAATAGATAAACCATCCACTCTGATAGTGGACACCAGGACAATAGATAAACCATCCACTCTGACAGTGGACACCAGGACAATAGATAAACCATCCACTCTGACAGCGGGAACCAGGACAACAAATAAACCATCCACTCTGACAGTGGATACCAGGACAATAGATAAACCATCCACTCTGACAGTGGATAAGAAGACAGTAGATAAACCATCCACTCTGACAGTGGATAGCAGGACAATGAACAAACCACCCACTCTGACAGTGGATACCAGGACAATAGATAAACCATCCACTCTGACAGTGGATAAGAAGACAGTAGATAAACCATCCACTCTGACAGTGGATAGCAGGACAATGAACAAACCACCCACTCTGACAGTGGATACCAGGACAATAGATAAACCATCCACTCTGACAGTTGATACCAGGACAATAAATAAACCATCCACTCTGTCAGTGGATACCAGGACAATAGATAAACCATCCACTCTGACAGTGGATACCAGGACAATAGATAAACCATCCACTCTGACAGTGGACACCAGGACAATAGATAAACCATCCACTCTGACAGTGGATACCAGGACAATGAACAAACCACCCACTCTGACAGTGGATACCAGGACAATGAACAAACCACCCACAAAGTGGAAACCAACACAATAAATGAAACATCTGAGTGGAAAACGAGACCATAATTAAACCATCTGAATGCATCTGAGAAAGCAGATATCTGGGAGAAACCAACCATCCACAGAGAGATTGGATATACCCGAATGACAAACAAACCACCCCCTGGGAGATTGGAAACCAGGATGATGAACAAACCACCCACTAAGAGAGTGGAAACCAGGATGATAAACAACCCATCCCCCATCTCTCTAATGGAAGAGTTGGAAGAGTGGATACTAGGATGACAAACAACCCCCCTCCCCCTTTCCCCCCTTTGGAGGAGTGGATACTAGGATGACAAACAACCCCCTCCCCATTGGAAGAGTGGATACTAGGATGACAAACAACCCCCTCCCCATTGGAAGAGTGGATACTAGGATGATTACCCGATTGCCATTGGGAATACCAAGTGAATACCAAGATGATAAATTACCCACTGCCAGATCCCAACTGATAAATACTCTACTCACTTGGAGAGTGGATAACAGGATGATAACAAATTAACCACTGCCAGATCCCAACAGATAAATAAACTATTCACTTGGAGAGTGGATAACAGGATGATAACTACCCACTGCCAGATCCCAACAGATAAATAAACTACTCACTTGGAGAGTGGATAACAGGATGATAAATTACCCACTGTCAGATCCCAACTGATAAATAAACTACTCACTTGGAGAGTGGATAACAGGATGATAACAAATTACCCACTGCCAGATCCCAACAGATAAATAAACTACTCACTTGGAGAGTGGATAACAGGATGATAACAAATTACCCACTGCCAGATCCCAACAGATAAATAAACTACTCACTTGGAGAGTGGATAACAGGATGATAACAAATTACCCACTGCCAGATCCCAACTGATAAATAAACTACTCACTTGGAGAGTGGATAACAGGATGATAACAAATTACCCACTGCCAGATCCCAACAGATAAATAAACTACTCACTTGGAGAGTGGATAACAGGATGATAACAAATTACCCACTGTCCAGATCCCAACTGATAAATAAACTACTCACTTGGAGAGTGGATGATAACAAATTACCCACTGCCAGATCACTCACTTGGAGAGTGGATAACAGGATGATAAAATTACCCACTGCCAGATCCCAACAGATAAATAAACTACTCACTTGGAGAGTGGATAACAGGATGATAACAAATTACCCACTGCCAGATCCCAACAGATAAATAAACTACTCACTTGGAGAGTGGATAACAGGATGATAACAAAGAGTTACCCACTGTCAGATCCCAACTGATAAATAAACTACTCACTTGGAGAGTGGATAACAGGATGATAACAAATTACCCACTGCCAGATCCCAACAGATAAATAAACTATTCACTTGGAGAGTGGATAACAGGATGATAACAAATTACCCACTGTCAGATCCCAACTGATAAATAAACTACTCACTTGGAGAGTGGATAACAGGATGATAACAAATTACCCACTGCCAGATCCCAACAG